ATAACTACAGAATTAAAGAAACCACATCCATCTACACTGGTAAGACAGGCAGAGACATGGAACAGGCTGGTCCCTCACCCATATGTGGTGGATAAAAATTCAGGACAGGTATCTTGGGAGCAAATCACCCCACACCAGGCCCCCCAGTCCAGGGTCCCAGTGCCAGGAAGGTAAGTCCCCACAATTTATGGCTTCAAAAACCAGTGGGAATTGAGTTGATGGAAGAAACTTCTGGAGCCCAAGTAGTTCCTCTTAAAGAACCCACAGATGGACTCATCTGCTCAGACTCACTGCCTCTGAGCTCTAGCACCAGGGCAGCAACTTGAAAGGCACCCGTGGCTAATAGGGAGAAACTGAAGTGTCTGGCATCAAGGCAAGCAGAGGCTATTATCCCTTTTCTAAACCCTCCCCCCACAGAGCTGGCAACCTGGTGTCATATCTGAGACTCCATCAACCTGGCTAACACTGTTTGACCCACCTTGGAGATCCCTGGAGACTGGACTCCACAAAACTTACAGGCCCACCCAAGCTGTTTTTCCATATGAATGGCTGGTCTTGGCTCCTGCTGCACAACTTCCTAAATCCTCTCAAACAAGCAACAGCTGGCCTCAGTGAGCCCCAGGCCTGGCACTAGCCTAGGTTCACAACTTGGCTTTTCCTGGGAATCTCCAAGCCCAACACAAGTAGCAGCCAACTCAGATTGCTTTATAGGTCATGCAGGGTGGCCCAGCAAAACCCAGGCGGGGGTTGACCTTGGCCTGCACCACCTGCGAACCCCAGAGCCTGCACAGACGACGTTAGAGCATCACCACCCTGCCCCTGCACGGCTGATCCTCCACAGATGATGGAGGTTGGTGGTAAGTGGTCACAGCCAGTCCTTGTAGCTGACTGGCAGGGTAAATCCCTCATACTGATCTGCCAACAGAGGCTTAACTACAAGAGAAGGGGGTATTCACCTCACATGAAGTGTGCACCTCAAGCACCCAGCTTGGGTAATAGGGGAGGCTGTGCCACTGGATGCTACAGGATACCTACTACAATAGGCCACACTGCCAAGACATGGAGTCAAAGAAGCTCTAACAAACACAGGGAGGCTGTCAAAGTGAGGAGACAAACATGGCCCAAATGAAAGAACAGATCAAATCTCCAGAAAAAGAGCTAAACAAAATGGAGATAAACAATCTATCAGATGCAGAGTTCAAAACACTGGTTGTAAGGATGGTCAAGGAACTTAGTGAGGACCTCAGCAGCATAAAAAAGATCCAGTCAGAAATGAAGGATACACTAACTGAAACAGAACAATTTACAGGAAAACAACAGTAAAGTGGATGAAGCTGAGAATCAAATCAATGATTTGGAACATGAGGAAGCAAAAACCAACCAATCAGAACAACAAGAAAAAGAACCCCAAAATATGAGGATAGCATAAGCAGCCTCTGGGACAACTTCAAGAAGTCCAACAATCGCATCCTAGGGTGCCAGAAGGAGAAGAGAAAGAGCAAGAAATTAGAAATCTATTTGCAAAAATAATGAAAGCAAGCTTCCATAATTTGATGAAGGAACTAGACATGCAAATCCAGGAAGCACAGAGTCCCAAACAAGATGGATGCAAAGAGACCCACTCCAAGACACAGCATAATTAAAATGCCAAAGGTTAAAGCTAAAGAGAGACTCTTACAAGCAGCAAGAAAAAAGAAGTTAGTTACCTACAGGGGAGTTCCCATAAGACTGTCAACTGATTTCTGAAAAGAAACTTTGTAGGCAAGAAGAGACTGGCAAGAAACATTCAGTCATGGAAAGCAGGGACCTACAGCCAAGATTGCTCTACCCAGCAAAGCTATGACTTGGAATCGAAGGGCAGATAAAGAGCTTCCCAGACAAGGTAAAATTAAGGGAGTTCATCATCACCAAACCATTATTATATGAAATTTTAAAGGGACTTCTTTAAGAAAAAGATCAAAACTATAAACAATAAAATGGCTAAAAATACATATCTATCAACAGTGGAAGCTAAAAAACAAAGGAAACAAGAAAAACAGGGACAGAATGATATGGAGAGTGTTTTGATGGTTGCCAGATGGGAGGGGACTTGGGGGAATGGGTGAAGAAGTGAGGGGATTAAGAAGTACAAATAGGTAGTTAAAGAATAGCCTTGGGGATGTAAAGTACAGTATAGGAAATGGAGGGGCCAAAAAACCTCCCCAGGGACATGAACGATGGTGTGGGGATCGCCTGAGTGAGTGGGGGGTGCTGGGTGTAAGGGGGCAAAGGGGGAGGACATCAGGACAACTGAAATAGCATAATCAATGAAATATAATTTAAAAACCTCAATTTAAACATAATCTCTTCCAGGAAGCCTTCTCTGATTTATATCTCTCCTATTCCTGTTCTCAGTGCCACCTAGACAAGGAGACTCTCATTTAGGCTTCTAAAAACCCGCTGATTACCCCATCATAGCGTCCTGGAAATGTCAATTTTCTTGTCTCTGAGTTTGTTATGGATGGAGACCAGATCAAAATAAACTTTGTATTTATAGAACTTGGCACAGTATCTAGCACATAAATGCTCAGGATATATTGCTTGATGAATTAATGAAATACACAGAATGTATGTATAGATAATTTAACCAGTGTTTACTAAGCATTTCATAGCTCTTTGCAGCATTAAAATTCCATCATATCTTATAACTTAAAGACTGTTTAGTTATAACTTATAGACCACCTAGTGTAATTCTTGAGTTACATTAAGTTCAGATAGGTGAATGGAGACAACACAGGCCTAAGAGTAACCACCACTTTTGGTTATAGGGACAGACAGGGTTCAACTTACTATCTAGGGCTCCTATATTTTTTTTCCTATGCTCCACATTGCACCTTATCACTGGCATTTAAAGTGTAAACTTCTTGTGGACCGGACTCTCTTTTTATATTCTTCTGTGACACTTTTATAAACCGAACTTTAGACCCACAAGGCAAAGGAAGCACAATTTACTTGCTTGAGGTCCAGCTTCAGGGAATTGACAGTGAATTAAAGATGGAAGAAATTTTACAACACAATACAACGTGAAACACAGAAATAGAGAAGAAAACACTTCAGAAAAAAACACAGAAAAGTGGTTTCTTTGAATTTGGAATGTCTTATTATTGTTATTATTATTTTGTTATTGTGAACATTTCCAGCATCAATTTCATTCACTTGTTCAACTTAAAGTTGACTGAACTTTCATTATTTGCCAAGCACCACTGGAGAGAAAACAAATGATCCTGGAGCTTTCTGTGTAGTAGAGGAGACAGATATTATACAGATAATTATTAAATTGTGGTTGGAAATAACAGGCAGGAAGATAAATACAGTGTGCATTCAGAATGTATTATAGGCTGCTTTACACCCACTAAAATGACTAAAACTAATAATCCTTACCATACTAAATACTGAGGAGTATGTGGAGCAATTAGACCTCTCAAGCACCACTGGTGGGAGTGAAATATGGTACTGCCACTTTGCAGAAAACAGTCTGGCAATTTCTTCTAACGTCAAACATACACTTATAACACCTAGTAATTCCAGTTGAAGGGAACCAAAGTTTTGCCTTTTGGATATTTATGGGTTTTTCAGAATATTTGACTTTCCCTTACTTTCCTGCCTAAGAGATTCAAATGGAAAAACTTGCTCCAGGAAAGAAATCTTAGTCTCAGTTTAGTCATACTCAATCTGAATTGAGTATGGCCACTGGGAGAGTGTCAAGCAGGAACCTGTGTTCTAAATTCCTCCTGTGTCTCATTTTTTTCCTGGTCTTCCTAGCAAAAATTTACCTGCCCTGTGTTTTGCTCTTCTTCACCTGCAAATGGCTCATTCTCACTTTTGAAACCTAAGATCTCCCTTCTCTTTTCCAAAATAATATATACACTCAATTTTACCTATCTTTGGAATTTTCCTGCTTACATTAATTCCCTGTGCCCATGTATTAAAACTGGTTTTCTCCTGTTAATCTGTTAATTTGATTAGCCCAGCTAGAAGAATTTAGAAGGTGGGAGGAAAAATACTATTATTAAATTTTAGCACCCCTAGAGTACTTGGTATTTACCCAAGAGAAATAAAAACTGTTTACACAACGACTTGAACATTAATAGTTATAGCAGCTTTATTCATTAAGAATTTTAAAAAACTGAAAACAATGCAAATGTCTGTAAACAGGTAAGTCAACAACTGTGGTGATTTCATACAATGGATAATACTCAGCAACAAAAGGGGATGACTAACACACTAACAGCACGGGAATGAATCTCCAAACATTAAGCTGAGAGAGAAGCCTGACTGTGAAAAAGTACAGACTGTATGAAGTTCTGTGATGTGAAAAAAAAAAAACCAGGAAAAACTACGCTAAACAGAGTAGAATAGCCTGGGGAGGCCATGGTTGTTGACCGGGAAGTTCCTGGAGTGTGAAAATGTGCCACATCTTCATTGCGGGGGTGGTTACACCAGTGAATACATTTGCCAAAACTCATGGACTTGCATATTCAAAATCTGTGCATATTACTCTATGGAAACTACAGTTACCAAAAAACAAACAAAAAATACACAAAACGATTACATGGTCACCCAACCAGTGGTGGTAGTGGCTGGAAACAGGGGTCCTAATTTTTTTTTTTTTAACGAAGTAGTGTATTCTACAACGTTGAAAAACGGTATGAGGCTGGGGAAGAGGGATTCCAAATACCAGATACCTTCCCAAGTATTGATTTTAAGCGGAGGAAAACTAGGAAACGTTCTGTATGTTACCGAGCGAGGCAGGACGCTGTGATACGTGTGGCGGAGACGGTAGGGCTACAGGGTTTGCCCACCGAAGCTACCTCAACGTCCTCCGCCGGGGTCCCCGTCCCCCCAGCGGTTCCCGTATAGGCCACCGCCGCCAACGCCGACACCGCTGCTGAACTCCACTCCCGACAGGCGGGCGCTCGCCGACGCCCCGCTGACGTCACGCGCGCGCTGACGTCGCCGGCGGCCGCGGCCTCTGAAGCGGGCTGGGTGTCGGGGGGCGCCGAGTTTGACTAGTTTGGGGGCTGCCAGGCGCCTGGCGGTGCTCCTGCCGCCCGCCGCGCCTAGGTAGCCGCGCCTCGGCCGGACCCAGCGCGTTGTGCCCGTTCCCGCGGGGACCTGCACTGGAGGCTGGGCAGCTCTCGGCGAAAGTTGGCCCCTCACGGGCAGGCGGGCGGGCGGGCGGCCGCGGCCATGGAGCCCAGCAGCATGGAGTATTTCAGCGCCCAGGTGCAGCAGAAGGACGTCGGGGGCCGCTTGCAGGTCGGCCAGGAGCTGTTGCTCTACCTCGATGCCCCCGGCGCCATCCCAGACCTGGAGGAGGACCTGGGCCGCCTGGGCAAGACGATCGACGCACTCACCGGCTGGGTGGGCTCGAGCAACTACCGGGTAAGCGGAGGCGGCGCGGCTGGGCCGGGCACGCCCTCTCCGGCCAGCCCTTTAATCCCGGACGTGCGGGTCGGGCGGGCGAACCTCCCCTGTGCGTCTGGTTCCTCGGAACCACGCCGTAAAGGGAAGACCCACGGACACGCGGGTCCTCTGGCGAGCCTGCTTCTCCAGGCCGATGAAGGGGAGTTACTTCCCACCACGACCAAGTTTTTTTTTGCGCAATTGTGAACAATGACAAATTCAGCGATTCCCTGACACGGTCCTGCGTTATTGGCTTTAGGACACAGTGTTTAATCATTACTTTTAAAAAATCAGCGATAATTTACATACATAAAGGGCACGAAGACTTTTTGCATTTCTATATCCCTGTGTAAACACTACCTAGACCAAGACGTAGGGCATTAGAATACTTTTTAAAAGATGTCAAGTTAATCCCTCTTTAATAAGTGATTTTCATCCTTCATCTTCTGTTTCTTTTTTCTTTTATAAATTTGCGTCTGGGAGGTTGTGCTCTTCATCTCTAAGGAACCTTTTAGAGCTTAATCAAGTGCTGTTAAATCTAATAAAAGGATGCTGGCCCCAGGGCGTTACTTACTTTTTATTTAATATTGACAAGAAGGAATGAAATTTTCTGTCATTTCGTTTTGACGCGGTTGAGGACTGACTCGGATTTGAAACCGTGTCCTAGAAGGTTAGCTGAGGCAGGTAAATAAATACGTAAATAAAAGAATGAGGTACAGCAAGAAATGAGTGTTTCTGATGAGCTGGTTAGTAGGCAGTTGTAATGTAGCTGCGTTAGGAAACCCAGGAAATATTCTGTAATTAGCCTGTCCTGTAGTGTTTAGTAGTTACTTTTCTTTCTAGTCTTCTGGTGGCAGTGTTGCTTTAAAATGCTGGCCCAAACCTGCCATGAGTGAAGTGAAGTGATTCTTGGTAATATACTGTATATCCCAGCAAATAGGCTGTACTTTGAAAACTATCCTCATAGAGAAGAAATGCATACTCTAGAGTTGTTATGAAGATTTAGTAGTGAACTATATGTGAGTTTCGAAAGGGATTGACTTTTACATGATAATAGTGTGAAAATTACCACCTTGATGCCTCATTATGTACTCAATTATTTTTTTTTAATTGAAAAAAGCTAATATAACATGACTATTTGGGTACTATTCTTATTTCTTCGGAAGAAACAAGCTAAATTTACACTGTAAGAAGAGCATATAAACACTAAGTTCATTTTATGTTGCTGCATAGGCTGTTATAGAGTCATCTCTTTGGTAATGGTAGGGAACTCGAACTCAGTTCAAAGACATAGTTGTCACAAGGTAGTTTTATTTATTTGCAGCAAGTAAAGGATACGGGGGATTCATATCCAAAGCACTGTCTCTCCAAAGGGAGGCTTAGCCATTGCTTATATACATTTCTTTGCTTATCTACATGTTGATTTCTTCTTTGCAGCTGCATTCATCCCTTTTGAGTTCTGTCAAAGTCATCCTGTTTTACAGCTGCATCTGTAGAATGCTGTGCTGGGTTTTAACACGTAGCAAGAACAACATTGAGTAATAATATTTAGACCTATCCTATCCAACAACAGTTATGCTTACTCCCGTTCTCAAGTGCTGGCGATGGGCCATTTCGCTCTTCACATGTACCATCGGTGAAGGGCAGTTCAGCAGTCTCATCTCTTGAAACACTCTTGGCTTCTGTGATAACACAGAATCCCTTTTTTTTTTTTTTTTTTTTTTAAAGCCTCTGTGCACGGCTTCACACAAGTGCTGTGTTTTTCCTTTAACTGGTCCTAAAAAGTTAGAACCCATCAGGCATCTGAGCAGAGTTCTCATCTTTTTACTACACATTGTCCCTGTGTTCTTCACCAGATACTGCAGCTTGAGACAATGTCAGCAATCAGAAGAGAACTGCCATAGGCTCCTACAACCGTATCCACATCCCTCCTTGTAGCTGTTCCCATATAGTTTACTTTCTATAGTTTCCCATCTACTTTCTTCTCAGTTAAAACGAATGAATTGTCTTTCTCATACTGATCCCTCCACATGCATATTAGATCCTGTGCCTTCTTGCCTACCCAAAGACATTAATTCAACAGTTCTGCTCTCTCCTTTCTGAATCATTAGTTCTCTCCTTTCTGTGGAATGCTTTATGGAAGCTTTTCTGACATTGTTAGAAGACATTGTAATTGCTTTTTTTTTTTTTTAGGTTTTATAAACTTAGTTACCAAACTAGATCATCATTTTTTACTCAAGATACAGTAAAACATTTAACTCTTAGAAAAAGTGTATCAGAATTTTTTTTGAACTACACACAGACAGTTGTACTTAAATTTTAAATTATGCTGAACAAAATACAGTTTTTCTTTGGATCTGACAGCATGTCAGATGTGTGTCTTAATAACTGTCATTGTTTCAATGAATTTGTTCTATAGTCTAGGTGTTGTTCTATATACTGGTGATCCAGTAGTGAACAAGACTAGTAACTCATTCATTCCACCTCAGTATTTATTGAGGACCTACCAGGTGCAGGAATGTGCTCTTCTAGGCATTTCTGATATAATATAGAAAAAACGACAGAAATCCTTGCCTTTATGGATTTAGATTCGAGGGGGAAAGTAGAAGCACAATAAAGAACTAAAATCAGTGTGTTAGATGGTGATATTTACTTTGGAGAAAAGCAGAGAAGGGAATAGGGAGTGTTGGGCAGAGTATAGATGTTTGAATTTTAAGTAGCTGGTCTCTGAAGACCTCCAGAGAGGGTGATTTAAAAGTGATTGGAGAGTGAGAACCCTGCGGTCTTGGATGTCCTATGAGAAAGAGGAAGGTGGATGGGTATACAAATTAGATGATTTCAAGTGCTTCTAAAAGAATGAGGGTGCAGTGAGACTATTTTGTTAGTCAAGGAAGTGAGGTGAAATTTGACTATAGACGTGAAAGAAATATAGGAGTGAAGAGTGATTTAGGCAGAGGAAATTGCAAATACAGAGGCTCTAGTTTTGCTGAACATGAAGAAGGCCCGCATGGCTGGAGCTCAACGAGTGAGATGTTAAGAAAGATGACGTTGAGGAGGCAGGTGGAAAGAGACTGATGGGATTTTCTTCTAAATCATTGGAGAGTTTTATATGTGAGGGGGTGGATTATTTGTGGAGAGTGGACTCTGTAAAAGAGCAACAGAAGAAGCAGCGAGATGATGGTGGCTGAGGCTGGATTGGCAATGCCATGAAGTGGAAGATTTGGGAAATGATTTGGAGGTAGAGCCAACACAGCCTCCCCCTTGGAATGAATGTGAGGGGTGAGAGAGGAATTAAGGATAATTGCTTTGCTTGGGTACCAATAGAGGGTGCTGTTTACTGAAATGAAAATTGAGAGAATAAGTTGGATGAAGTAAAATGTTTGGTTTAACTATGTTGTTGGGTCTGAGAGGATTGTTTAGCATCCAAGTTGAGATTTAAACAGGCAGTTGGGGTTGAGTTCAATGGAGAGGTCAGACTTGGAGATGAAAAATATGGAAATAGCTGAGGTTGGTGTGGCTCAGTAGATGGAGTGCCCGCCTACCAAAGGGTCGCCTGTTCGATTCCCAGTCAGGACACATGCCTTGGTTGCAGCCGGGGTCCCCAGTGGGGGGAAGCGTAAAAGGCACCCACACATTGATGTTTCTCTCCCTCTGTTTCTCGCTCCCTTTCCTGCTCTCTAGAAATAAATAAAATATTAAAAAAATAAAAATACGGAAATAGGTATGTATAATATATTCTGGCATTTGACCTTTGCTAAAGACAGTCTTGGATTTCAGGAGTCCCCAGATTTTAAAATGGCATTATAACAATGAAATGTCTTTACAAAACGCAGTTAAATATCATGACCACCATTTAAAGAGTCCTTAGTATCAGGCACTGTCTCAAAGTAGTTTATTTGCATTACCTCATTTTTGTCTTTAAGATAGTGTTAGAAAGTCAGTGCTATTTTCCTCATTTTGTAGAAAAGATGTATTTTGTTTTAGGTCATAGACCTGGTAAATTATTAGAGGAGTACTTTAACCTAGGGAGATTAGGATCTTCCTACTCCTCTTCCTTTTCTGGCCTTTTGTAAACTTCTTCAGCATCCTATCATTTGTCAGTCCTGCTTTCATTTTTATATGTTGTCTGCAGCTATATAACAGTAAGTTAATTATCAAAAATAGAGAAAGTAATAAATAGCATTTATATTATAACTGCTTAGTGCTGGGCTAAGTAATGCGCTAGGATTTCAAGTCTTTTTTTGTTTGTTTGTTTTTTTGGAATCCAAAATCACAATCCTTTTGCCTTTTGAAGGATGATACTTTCCAGTGTCAGCATCACCTTGATTGTATTTTTTATAAACCATCAATTTCTTAAGATATGTCATTTATTAGTTTGCTAAAAAAAAAAAAAAGAGTGATCTTACATATTCCTTTTACTTGTCATCTAAGAACATCTGGGTTGTCTTAATTTTTTACTATTAACATTGTCCTTTTGCGTTGTCGACTTGTAAGTGTGCATGAGTTTGTCTTAGGCAGTTATTCTGAACCCTGTCAGATTCACTGCCCTCTTTTAATGCTTCCTTTTATAGTCATGAAATAAATTTTATAAATAATACCCAATAAACATAATTTTAAAAAAAATCCCAATAATGTCCTAACTGTACAATGAAGGAGAATTATACATAATTTAATGAGATAAAATATATTTCAGTATGAAAATGTGCCAGGCTGACCACCCAGGACGACATGATAGATGACGGGGCCAGCACATGTTATGGCTGTAAATGCTACCTGCCCCTGCCAACACAGACCGCTCGCGATGTGTGGTTGCTGGTGATTCAGACTTCACAAGTGGCGTTACTGTTGGTGATTGCGATAATTCTAGAGCTCTAAATTCTGAACCTTATTTCTTTGAGTACACTACCTTTAAGAATTTGACTATTGCACCTGACATGCAGTCTATTGAGCTTTTAACTGACCTCTTACTTGAGCTTAGT